CAAAAAGGTGGTAGTACTTTTCCAGCACACTCTTCCAGCAACCTGATTTGCAATTCAAGAACTTTCTAAATCAGAGAAGTTGTTTGCATATTTAATATTTGCAAGTGAATGTGTATTGCTGATCTTAAAACTCCTGCAAGCAGACAATATCCTGCAGCAAAGAATTAATTGCACATTAGGTAAAGACCCTTTTGTTTATTTTGAATCTGCACCTGTTAAGTTCATTTGATGTCTCCAGTTCTTGTGCTGGAAGAAACAGTGAACAACTGTTCACCATTTCCCCATTTGTTGTTTCTTATGATTTTAGAGATGTCCATCACATGCCCCCTTGACCTATTCTTCTCTAATTGAAAGAATATTAGTCTACATAAGCTTTCCTCATGAAGAACGTCCCATATTGTTTATCAGATTTGCCATTCTTCCCTTAACCTTGAAGAGTTCTAGTATACCCTATCTGAGGTGATAAAACTACAATTTCCCATGAAATCAAAAATGTGGACATTTATACAATGTCATTATGATGGTCTATAAGATTTTATCTTCTTTCTTCCTGCTTCCTACCATCTAAGTTGCTTTTTGGTCACTACCGAGCACAGTGCTGTGTCCAGTGCTAGGCTCCCCAGTACAAGAAAGTTATGGAGCTTTTTTAAATCTAGCTCTGTAAATGCATTCCAATGTTCACTGTACATTAAATGTTATCCGTTGTAAAATCATAGTAGTCCTTTTTTTATTGTTTGAAACATTATTCTCTACTATAGATAAATATGATTAAAACAAGAAAATTGGGAATAATTTTCATATTGAGTTAATATATCATACATTCCAGTGACAAGAAAATAGATCTCTGATTTATTGAAAATCTGAAGGAGGAGATTGAGAAAATGTAAAATTAGCCACTTCCCCTAGGCAGCAGTTATAATAAATAATAATTTTTAATTAATAATTTTAACTCTATTAATAACTTTTTTTTTCTGAAGACAAATTATAATTCACCAATTTATGGATACAGATATGCTGTTGTTTTATTCTGGGTGTGAACTTGTTATCTCATTAATTTTTCATCTAGATTTTTATTTTAATACACTTTCTTGTCTTATCTTTTTCCTAACGATTAGCTTGTTAAATTTTATTTGATAGTAACATACATTTGAAATTTTCTTGTTCTACTGTATGTTTTTAGAAGGTGCTTGGGGGAAAAAAACGCACAGTTTCTGGAGTGATCAACTAGACTAATGTCATGATCCTGTTCTGCCACTCATAGATATAGTCAATATTAGAAAGCACCATAACTTTACTTCCAGTCATACTATATTTGGTTCTGCCTACACACAACTGCTGGAAAATTATATAGTAATAAAGTATAATTAGTATTTTATCTGATTTAAAACAAATATTTTACCATTGACCATTGCAAAGACGGAACCAGTACAAGTCTGATAGCATTCTTCCTTAGCTAAATTTCTAGATTTGGTATCAGTCTGCTTCATGCTTTTAAAGTATGCTAGAAATATGGATGATATAAAGATAACATTGACTAGAAAGATAGAGTCTATCAGGAAGAGAAATTTGGATCTAAAAGCAAGGATTTTTTTAAATAATATTTTCTTTATAATAAGGTACTACAACATTTGACATGCTCCAGTTAAAGCATGGAATTAACATCTATGACAAAGTAATGGATTGCAAGAAGGCAATGAGACTGTGTTTTAACTAAATACCCACTGCAAGGAAGAAGCAACTCTGTATCCTGGCATTGCATCAAACATAGTATGTAAGGAGATAAGATAATTATTGTGGAAGCACAATGGAAGAGCTGAAGCAGCAAAACAAAACAATTAAAAATGGGTAACTAAAATGGCCAAGAGGTGAACAAAGGGCTTAAAATGCTCTAAGAAGGCAGAAATGGAATTTGTTGTAGAATCACAGACATCAACTGTGTGAAAACAATGGAGTATCATGTATTGTGAAACAGTGGACAAACACTTGCAACCATTTATACATCGCATCTGCTGGAGCAAAGAATGTAAAAATGCACTGAAGAACATTAAGGGTCTGTGCTTTCTATAGAGGAAGTTGAGCTAGGATATTGAGGTGTTAAGGATATTGAATGGAGGGTTTTGTTTGTGCTGGCTTCTTTAACACACACAGAACCCACAAATAATTATACCTCAATTTTTTTTTTAATTAAAAAATTATTTTTAAGTTAGAAGTTCAGAAGACTTTCAAAATTTGACAGTAGTGTAGGTGGTGTAGGACAGAATTCCTTCACCTCAGAATCCCAGCTTTTTAGGGTAGAGATGAGTGGTAAGATTTTCTTTTGCTGTTTCACAATAAATTCTAAGATGCTGTTTACTTATTTGCTCCATTGGAAAGGAGGGAAAAAATACGAGATTTTTATGGGATGGACAAACGTAACAGCTTTCTCATTTGTCCAGTCCCCAAGCAGGCAGTAAATCGTGAGTGGCCTGTATCTCTAAATACCTAAGTGTTTCTAGGACCTCTACACCACTGCCAGAGTCCTGTAAGGTAGAGCCTATCTCAAGTGAGGGCAATAGGAAATGCTAATAATTGAATTGCCAGGGAGAGATGAGTCTGTCAGACCAGACTCTTCAGAAGTCCACTTAATGACAGCTTATATAAACAATGTAACTTTCCTACCCTAAGATCACTGATGGTATGTGCAGGGAAATTCTAACAAATTCCAATATAAGTTGCTTTAATTAATGCAAAAATGTCTGAACACTGTCTTATTTCCTAAGAAGTATTCATGCAACTGTAACAGACATGAGTGGACTCTCATTATGAAACTTCAAAGCAAATAGAACAGGGCTTCAAAGTCCTTTAGATTTATTTCTTCTAATGTGATGTCCACTTGCATCATCATCTAAATGGTGTTTCGTGGTAGAATTAAGGACTAACTTGTTCTTCAGTGATATAAGCATCAAAAGTTTATCCTGGTCCTAAGGTTTGTTTATAAGTCTTGTAAAATAATCACATTGAATATTCACTGACAACATCTAGTATTCCTAACTCAACTGAAAAAAGGATCAAAAAAAAAAGAAAACAAGTCTTAATCCTTAGAAAGTTTTAGCTCAGCAGATTGCTATACCATAATTGTCTCAAAAGCGTGAGAACAGGAAACTGTTTAATGAATAAACAGATAATTATCATCCACAAACAGTATAATGACAGTTTCTTAACATACAGAAATAAAAAGAATAGAGACTAGAGATTCTGAGGCAATACATTACACTAAAGGGAGGACTTGGAAAGAATGTCTTGTTCTTCAGAAAGAATTTTTTAATCACTAGGGAGTTGGCATTTAATCATTTGAGAACGTCTTTAGGAAGCTTTTATTAAAATATTAATTTTATGAAAAAGGTAGACCCAAATTTCAGAGTATTTTTTGTGCATTATGGATCATACATGGCATAAAAAGCAGCACATATATAAAAAGTACACAGGTTCACGACCTTCATGACACCAGAAGGAAGCTAGTCAGTTTTCACCTAAAATACCACAAAACCACCCTGATCTCAGCTGCCACAGAAGGACTCTCCAGAAGATGTCGCCTTCTCTCATCTCCACATACACAGAAAAAAATAAGTGCTTTGAAACATGCCTTATTCAGTTATGTCAGTTACTTCAGCAAGTAACTGCAGAAGTGACAAGTCATTGTAGAAAAAAAGAGGAATGCTATCAGAAAATCTTTTTTTCAGATAAACTGAGTTCCAACTCAGTTTCAGTTAGTTATCACACACTTGATAATAATTCAATGCTTCAAAGGAGCTGCTTAAAAGGAGTTTCCAAGTCACGAAAGTTTGTACAAATACATTCCTTAAGCTTCATTTGAAATCCAACAATGGCCAGGGCTCTGTGTGTCCTGCTCTTGGTGGGACACAGAACTGAGCAAGAAAGACACAGCATGGGCTATAGCTGAAATAAGCTTCCATAAATCTGGTTAGTGTCATTCATTCCCCTTCTTAAAGCACAATTAAATCTCCTTTTCCTTCAAAAGATATCCCTACTGATTCATTGCTAATGCTGCTATCAGTATGTATCTAATTAGCCCACAAACTTTTCAATGGGATTTTGTTGTATTTCTTTGGCAGTGTTAAATGTGCTCTTGTTTTGAATAAGGACCAGCGTGTGTTCAAATACATCAAAGTTACGGAAAAGTAAAAAGCTATCATCCCTTGAATCCTTCAAAACTGACTAGCACTAAAATAGTAAACAGGGCAAATTTAGTTCTTGTACAAAAAGCTTCAGTTCCCATTTTTTATATACAGTATTTATTCAAATCAGTAAAAGTATGCTGCTACAATATTTCTCATCATTTATTAACTCACTTCACCTTGTCATCTTGCTGAAATTCAGCTCTTATCTCAGTTTTATAGAATATACACTTCACAATGGAGGACCATAGCCCACCAACTCGGCAAGAACTTTTCCAGCTCAATTTTCACTACACCTACAGTATTTGCTTCAAAGATTTTTTAAAACAAGCATGGCCAGATCATAAGTAAGCCAGTTATTAGGCATACTAGATTATCTCTAAAATGGGTTACATTGACCTAGAGTTAGCTCACAGACAAGAGAAAGGAGGAAAGAAAAGAAGAAGAAGAGAAAGTAATACATCAGTTCTCATTTGTGCTGTCCTTCCAACCAGACATCAAATATTAACTTTGCAAAATTTCACACTCAGTATTGTGGGATGGATCTGAAAGTCCAAGAAATCAACCTAAGTTCCACTCACTTTAAGTGGGCAGGTGGCCACTAAAACTGATGTAAGCTAGAATTCTGAAAAAAATTTCCTCATTTATAATTACAGAACTTCTATAGTATTTATTAAATTTTTAGTCCTTAACAGTGGTCGGTAGGTACTGCAGACTCTGCCTTTATCACTTCTATTCCATCAAGGAAAAGTAAATACTGCCTTTACAGAAAAAAAGAGACAAAAGACTAGACACAGACGGACAACATTACACTGTTCCACCCACCTGGTGGTCCCTCCTTGTAAAACTTTAGGTGAGCTAGAGACAAAAGCATAAGTAAGATTGCATTTAAGCCTCACACAGGGAATTTATATTTTTATAGTCATTAAATACATATCTTAGCAGGTAGTCTATCAGACACCCTGCTTTTTATTCATATACTTCAGTCAGCATTTCCAGCTCCCATTTGTATAATTTTGTCTTGCAAAAAATTATCTACTGTTTACTAATTGCTCGATTTCGTAAGAGTTCTTATATATCAGCACTGCCCATCAAATCAAAATGAAGTAACAAGTATTTAAATAAATTTCTAGCATGTAAAAAATCCCATGGACATTCCCTAGTTAATCACAGGCCATATGTAGTAACACAACAAAAACAAACTTGCAAATATCTTTATAAATTCTCAGCTCAATATATACACAGAATTGCATACCACACACTATAGAATAATTAAATAATTTATTTTATTAATTCCTCAACCTTTTTAATTGAAAATAACAATGGTGCTCACACATTACTGTCTTTTCATGTTGCTTGGTAAGGCAAGGAGAGCAATACAGATCAGAAAGCTTAGCCTCTTCTGACAGATTTGTTCCACACAATCTGAATAGAAGACACAAGTTTGGGGTGGGAACACTTTCAAGAATTCCTTGATTTGCTTTTTAAGTTGTTTCTAAAACATGCACTTTTCAAAGAGACGATAGACTGTGAAATAACAGTGGTCAATGTGTGACATATGCCACCAGTCGGTAGAAATAAAGCACGTAAGACATTATTAATGTTTAGTTAAGTATGAGGGTCACAATGTTTCAAATGGCAATATTCATTCTCCAAAACTGTTGCATAAAGCAAGTATACAAACTCAAATACTATTCAGTATTATTCTATTTGTGTTCAAAACTGCTGTGCAAAAATTACCTTTTCTTCTTTAATAATAAAACAACTTACCTACTTGAAAAATTTTAAATAAAATCTTATGTGAAAAGATTTTATGTGAAAATTTTCCATAACTTGCATTTCAAATAAATTAGGTACACCTCAAACTTTACATAAGCAATTTAGGAACCTTCTCTGCCATGATCCCAAAACTTCAAGTAGAAAGCAGAAGCTTTGAAAATAAATGACCTTCTTTGAAGTCAATGATCTTCTGGTCATAATATTAATTTTTGTAGAAAATCTTGTGTGTCAAACAGTATGCGGAAACATGTTAACACAATTTAAAAGTAATTAGAGAACAAAAGCTGGAAAACTTGAGTGCAATCTACCTCTCTCGAGATGTACCACACCCTGTAGCATAAAGGAAATCATTAACTTTTAATTGAGCTGATTCATTAAATTTCAGAATTGCGAGGGTTTCTTAATCTTTTCTCACTTCTTGGTAACTCTTGGTCCCATCATTTTCAATATTCCCTTTTACTATAGTTTGTTTCTTCCTCCATTATTTCCCCATGTAGCTTTCCCCTTTATCCACCAGGTGTCAGAAGGGAATCTACTCACCACAGCTGCACCTTTTTTTAATTATTTTTATATATATTATTTATATATTTATCTTTACAGGCTCACTGATGCAACCTTCCAGGCTTTTTTAGGCTACAGTCCTAAAAAGCAGCAAATGTTCAGGCTTTTCTTCCAAGAAACAGTCATGAGAGACTTTCAAAACATGTTGTTTGTTCAGTCTTGGAATGGTGTTTATAAAGCATAATTTTCACACAGAAGTAAGACTGGGAGAAAGACATTTGTTTGAAATGCTACAAGAATGCACCATTTTAAGTAGAGAAATTGTGGCTTACACATTTTTTACATGGTGATTGGGCAGTGAAATCCCAAAGCTTAGGGTTATAAAAAGTTGTCAAACTTCCTTAAACTTCAGTTTGAACAAGGTTTGCATTAAAGCATCCTTTTAGAACTAGGAAATTAAAATTTTTTTTGTGTTTAGAGAAATGCTCATAATTACCTATTTTTTAGGGATAAGGGATAGGCTAAAACAATACTAACTGTAGCTTTGACATATTATTCTAATCCTTCTTCCCTTGCCCCGTTCCATCTACTCCTATCTGTCCACCTCTCTTTACTTCTCACTGAACCTGAACTCTTTACAGCCCTGTAATTCAACACATATAAGGATGTCAGTTCCCCAGACTGGGAAATGAGCAGACATCCTTCACTTCAACTTAATTTTTTTTTTTTTAGACTTTTAAGGGAAGAAGGAACCCTCCAAGCCTAAAATTTCAGTGATTTTCAGCACCTTAAAGATTCTGCTACAGTGAAAATATGGAAGATGGGAGGAAGGGAGACAGAAGGAGAGGGGCGTGTGGAGAATAAACAGTCCTGAACAAGCCAATAGTCCAGTATTTAAATACTGTCTCGATATTGAGATAATACAGAAGATTTATGAGTTGACTTACAACAGAAAATGAAGTAACTTCACAAAACTCATTGAATTCCAATAGAAAAATATGCACAGAAAAGCAGCCTCCTGAAGGAAAACCCAGCAACCCCTTCTGATTCTGTTATGAAAATGAAGTAAATAGTTCTTACTCTTTCTGACCGCAAAGCGGTATAAAGCACTATTCAGCAGCAGTCACCTGAGTAATTTATCTACTTGATCGTTTCTCTCCTGTCACAGGTGAGGTTACAGCTACAGTTCATTTATCTGATAGCAGAAATGAATAGTTTCACTTGTCATTTTCACCCTCCCAGGAAAGCAACATTAGAAGTACTGCTGCTGAGGATATTCAACATGATTTCTTTCTCAACAAATGTCCTACTCCTTATTTACAAAACTAGTCTATTACAGGATCACATCCACCAATGCAATATGATAAACAAACAACACCTTATCAGCAAATACGAGGAACAAACGTATTGCAGGATTTCTTTGATGAGTTACAGGCTCTACTCCATCTAGCACAAATTTAAAATACAGAACACATTCTAGATCTACAACACCTTTGCAAAGATTGCATACTATCTATAGGAAGTATACATTGAGAATGCATGTATATTTATTCAAATGTGAGTGAGTGTAGGGATACTACATATCCACACACATAGGCACAACACTTCCCAAGTCCATTCTCAGCAATTCTCCAGCTTAGAACTGTTGACAAACTTAAAACATGGACAGATACAAAACTAAGACATGTGCAATAAATAGGGATGTTGTGTTTTTTACAGGTAAGAGTCTGTCTCTGTGTTGAAGCAGAGGGGGAAAACTTGGCAGGAATGATATTGAATTTAACTGAAAAGAAGTTCTAAATCCAGATGCAAATTTTCAGAGCTTGTCAAGGTGTTCCACTCAGGATTTCAGCCAGACTAGTACTTAAATCTCTCATGTTCAAATTCTGGCCCAAACAAAACTTCAGATCACGTGAACTGTGAGACTGGAGAACAGGAAAGTGAATTCAATAAAACTCAGAGGCATTTCTGTTATGCAAAGGGCCTCATATGTTTTGAAATATAACCATGGAAATAAAATACAAAGTCATTCTTCTTGTGCTGTACACAGTCTCTCTTTCACTGTGTTTCAACTATGTAACTAGAATCATCGCATAAATCCCTGTGACCATTTTGGGCCTTTGCAATGTCACATTGGTAGGACCCATAGTGGTGCTTACATTTCAAAATAAAAATTACAGTAAAAGAAAAAAAATCACAGAACTTGCCTTCATTATATTCAGACAATAGATTAATCTTCTCACTAGGCAAAATATAGATTAAAAACCAAGTTTCTGCTTTGAGTGGACTAAAGCTAACAGCTTTAGTGAATTAGTGAATTAGCTTTAGTGAAGCTAACAGCTGTATGTGAATTCTTAACCACACTGGTATCTATGGCTACAGAGATGTATGCATCCAGATATGGCTTTGTATACTGTAAAACATGTCCTTGTAGGCACATGCTGCAATAAATGCATCCAGACTCAAAAAAAATAGGTCTATTAAAATTACTACATTTCTACAGACAGTATGCATAATGGAAATAAAGCAGGGATTTTTACTGAAAAAGTCAAGCATAACTCTTCTTCCCCCTCACATTGCAATAATGTAATCCTCAGTATATAGGAAGGCATGAACATTTTATCACATGGCCTTAGGTACAGTTACCATACTGTACCATTTTTTCGCAGATTTAAGTTTAGAAAGTAGTATTCTTCTCCATTCTGCATCTCTATCTAATGCTAATATTCTATGAACAGAAAAATAATTTAATTTGGCTTGAAAAATAGGTCAGGATTCTTATCCCAACTTTACAGATGAGTAAACTGAAGTTTTGAAATGTCTCTCAACTTTCCTGAAGTTACTCTGGTAGCAAAAGGGCTGGAAATGGAACACAATCATCTTAACAACAAATCTTCAGCATTAACAGATGGCTATCTTTTTGTTCCTATCTCAAGAGGCACAGTATAAATGACAGTATCAGGTGATGTGGGGAGAGAAAAGCAAAGGAAGTTTCTGTTGTTTGCTTGTTTTTGAGGTTATTTTCTTAATATTTTCAAAGTAAATCTTAGCAGACAGGGCTGCAAGATACCTGGAAAAGCAGCTGCTGCATTGATCAGCACATGTACAATGCATTTGTCTGAGACTGTAGAGATTTCCAAACAGCACTATGCCCAATACCTTCCAAATGCATAAAATTATAGCTTTAGTTGGCATAAGTAAAGGGAGAAAATGTGATTGTTCCTCTAGAGGAATATAATATGGCTACAACAATCTGGCTTGTAACAAAAATAGTGTATTTGTCAGAATATAAAACACTGACATAACATGGCCAAATACACCTGTCATGCTGCACACTAAATGCAATCGAATGTAGTAAAATAACTTACAAAACCTTTATGCATCCTACCTGCACTCTGAGGTCACATCCAATTGGTCAGTAACCACTAAAATCACAAAAACACTGTCTTCAACCAGTGCATAGTATCCTGCTTGCTGTAGTCCTGCTTTATCTAATTCACCACAATAAAATCTATAATAGAATCCCAGAACTAAACCCCAAATACCACACTGAAATAAAATAAAATGAAATTACTAAAAAATGTCAATTTTTCTCTCTGAGGGTGAAACCAACTGTTAGCAGCCACTGTTACAACAACTTCCTTCAGGCCACTAACATCATCAAGCATTATGATGTTATGTTTCATTTTTTAGAGACAAAACCAAACTGTTCAAGGCCACAAAGGAAGTTTATGTTAAAGAAAGATAACAAATCATGTTCTTATGTCTTATCTCTTCATTCAGACCATTATGCTTCTCTTTCTCTCACATAAACTGGTTATTCTCTGCATTTACATTATGGCCATAAAGTTATTTTCTTGCTGGGAACCCAGAGCATAGGGGATCAAGGCTTTAATATATTTGAGACTTGGCAATAAACCTCTGCCTTTATCTTGTATTTCACTCACCATTTACTTATACACTTTTGTTCAATAAGAGCTTTCTCAGTCACCTCCTGATTTTCTTATTTACTCTGAAAATTATGCTTGCAGCATTGCAGGCTGTTTTGGAAATTGCAGCACCACAGAGACAGCATTACCTTATTGCAGACTTAAGGATGATAAATAGGCAGACTGTGAGAGGGCAGGGTTTTTTTAATGTTAAATACAACCATTTGAATTAACAAGAAAACGTGAAGAAAAAATGCATAGATTACTGTTTCAACTTGATTCCTTTTTTTTTAACATTTTCTCCAGCAGCAACTTGAAATATTTCTCTCTTAACACTTTTTTAAATTTTGCTTTTCTCAAGCAAAAGGCTACATTCTGCCTGTTTTATATAAGAGAACCATTTTGAGCCTAATGGCTAAAAATGCATTTTTAATAGGATTTGCAGGATCTCTATACGTATACCTGCTTAATGAGGAGACTGTTCTTCAAATATAACTAGTTTTATAATTAGAAGAACTCATGTCTGAACTCCTCTTCTTGGACAAGAGTGGCTGCAAGTACTGATCTAGTCATACACAGCAGCTGAGACATTCATTATATCTGATTCTATGTGATCTAGTATCACAGATGAGTTTGCTTGGTAGAGACATTAATTTGTCTCCTCTACCTGGCTAGATATTTTCAGCATACATAACAGCTAACATATCTACCCTTCTATAAGCTGTAATACTTAAAACATGGGAGAAATCTCTCTAACAATTATGGAGGAAAAAGAAAAAGAAACTTCTAATGAAAACAGAAAAACAGAACTTGGGACCAGAGAAATGCACACAGAAATGTCTTTGATTACACGGGGAAGATTTCCATGGAACAAACCTGTAACTATAAATTAAAATACCCTTTTTCTCGTCTTCCAGGATATAAATGGTGTAATGTACTACAGACTTTCTGAACTTCAACTATTTTAGACTGATACACTTCAAAGAAGTTCCAGTTTCTCTAGAGAACCATGTAAGCAGCTTGTGCTAATTACAGAGAGCCAGTTGACAACGCAGTCACTTGCTCTATGGAAACAGAAGAATTAAAGGATTAAGAAAACATAAGATATGCCAAGATATTGTAATTGCATCCTTTTAATTCAAAATCTACAACTCAAGATTCAGTATTGGGGGTGACAATACTATGACTACAAAAAAACGCTATCAAAGGCATTAAAAAAACCTGTTGCAGAGTCGTATTTGTTCACTAACTTCTTTCACTTCTAATATTCCTAACAGACCTAGTCAGCCCCACACACGTGTTCCTTGTTATGTCCATTTGCCTTTCAGTTGGTTTCCCACACACCAAGCCAGACTAAAAGCCTCAGGAGGGAGTTAGCTGCTCCTCCAAGCTGCTGTGAGTCACTGTGATGTCTGCTGCGTAGGCCAAATTAAGCCTGAATTTCTTGCTTCCACTAGGCAGCAAGAACAATGAGGAAAAACATGGCAAGGAGGTGAGAAAAGATCAAAAAGCCAGGAATCCTCTCCCTCAATATCCCTATCTTCCTGTCAAAGCTGTCATAGTGTATGGTGATGAAAGAATAAAATACTTAGTGTGGAATTGTGAGAAAGATTACAGTATTTCCACTTTCAATTTTTCCGTGTTACTTTAAATAGTAATTTCTCATGATGAATGAGAAAAATCTATGCTCCCTCATAAAGTAAGTACATATTCTTGTACCCTGTTAGACATACAAATACTTATGTCCACAGATTTATCCTTGGATGTGGTCACATTTGTGACAGATGTATTTTGTTTAAACCTAAAATAAAGCTGTGCTAAATTAATAATTACCTAATAATTCAGCCTATTATTATTGTTTGTATATAGATTCCTATTGTTTTGGTAGATTAAACTCCTAATCACAGAAATTAAAACACTAACATAAATCATTGACTGAAAGTTAAAACAAGTCACTTCAGCATTTTTTATCTTGCAGATAATCATCTATCCAGGAACACCAGTGGATCCCTGACACACAAACATCCCTGACACACACAACTTTTGAACTCTATTCTGAAATAAAGAACTCTTCATTTGATCTCAGCTGTCAGGACAAAACACTGGTGTAAGAAATAGGATTTCAGGTTGAGACGAGTCAGTTTAATGGTGCTCATTAACCTGTTTTATGTCATATTTTTTTAAAAAGCCCACTTTGTGGATAAGAAGTTCCTAGGATACCAGTTGCTGGGAGGGAATTTTGGACGGGAAGGTGCCTGAGGCCAAATGCCAGTATGCATATGCACTTCTAAGGTACCAACCACTGTCAGAGAGAAGATACTGAGTTTAGAAGTAAAAACCATTTCATTAAAAAAATACACAAACCCCACCAGCTAACAATAAGACCAACATTGAATACAAATTCCAGTTTTTTAATTATATCAGCACTACTCATGAACAGTACCTTCCTTCACTTGCAGGAGGATGAATAAATTCATTCTTGTGCATAGTACTTTAAAACAGTCAACCTAGTCCTCAGAAAAGCAGGTATAACTTATCTGTCATATGCAACTTACAACTGCTTGCAGTGTCCTTGCTGTCACAGCTGCTTTCTGGGCATCCATGAACAGCTGAAAGAAACACAAACCTGGAACTCCACTCCACTTTTAACGTATGCTGTAAATACAGTCTTCGCCTATTTCCTTTAAAAACACTGCTTCTGTCTCATCCTAGCTGAATCACCAGCACTTTGTTTTCATTCAAATTCCTCCCTCTGCCAGACACTGGAGTGACTAATGAACTGCAGAATCTGGTCTGTATAAAAATTTGACTTAGCAAGCTAACCATCAGCATGTTGATGACACTGCCGCCCAAAATATCACAGTAACAAAAGAGTAACAATTTACATGGGCTCTAAGCCAGTCTGTCCTTCCTATTCAAATTTCAAGAAAGCATGACTGTATTTCTCTACAAGTAGTCAAATTTGGAGCTTTTGTTAATTCAGTTTCCTTTCCTTTCTTTATTTCAGCATATGTTTTTGCCACAGATTATTACAGTCATTAGGACAAAAAAAATATTTATTTGGGTAAAATTAAATACGGCAAGCATATAGCCTGTAATAAGAATCTAAGAGTAACAGAAAGAGTCTGTAGCACACCCTGTTCAACAGCTGAATACCTGCCCTGGTCATCTAGTGATATACTCCTAACACCTAACAGATGCACTGTAAATACAATTCTGTCTATATTAGAACCGTGACGCTCCTGCCAAAAACAAGTTTTCTGAATCTTCAGCAACTTTTACATTTCCAGTATCATGCCCACTTTATGAAAAAGGAAGATTAAGGCAGAGAAAACTGAGGAAAGACAGAGAAAGAAGTAATACACTAAACAATGCAAACCAGTAGATCCACTGCTCCTATTTATTCTTTCTCATATACAAGGCCAAATGGGTATTCACTGAAATTGGCAAGAACCATACAGCATTACTCTGTACAATTTCTCATAGCAAGGTAGTATAAAAGCTTGGGTTTTAATTCCACTTAATCACTTCTGGGTGATATCTTCTAAAATCTACAGGTCCATGAAGAACAGATGGTCTTTTGCCTTTCATTTTGATATTTCAGACCATTCGACAGTTTATGACTAATTTCTGAGTAATGAGGAATTCCTGGTTTATATTTAAGAAGAAAAATTTGAAACAGAGTTGTGGTGGCTACAGCAATCGCTTTTTCCCTTGTAAATATGTTATGTAAATATTTACCTAAATAACAAAAAATTAAGAAATATTTTTCTGTGGAAAGCTTATCTGATAACTAGTTAGCATCGCACTTCAGACACACCCTGTCACACATTTCTATAGAACAATATAAATGGCTAGCTATAAAAGCGATCTGAGTGGATATGAGTATTGCTCTGTTCATACACAAGTTGCAATAATGGTATTTGTTACTTTTATTCTGGACACTACCTGAAGAAAATCTGCAGCCAGACTAGAATCCAGCAGGTCACTGCCCCCCGCATTTTAAGGTAATGGAAAAAGCAGTCAGGTTTCTATCTTTCCCTGTTTTATCACTCATTTGAACAGAATCCCATTTGAAACGGATAACCTAATTTATCAAAAAAACTACTTCTTTCCTCATTCATTTGTACAGGCAAGCATTTAGATTTCAACACAGATTTAGCCATTTCCATTTAAAAATCAGATGCTTAAAACAACACATCCATAACATAAGGTCTGTTTTTCCAGATAAGAAAATACAGTGACTTATCTCCATCTCTGTATTAAACAAGATTAAAAATGTCAGAAACCAATTTCTGCAAATGCTACAAATGCAAACCTCTTTGTTTTACCTGCTTCTGTGTACTTTAATCCTACTTTTACTTCTTCGTGCTCTGCTTTTGGTGGTGGCCAGACAGTCTGGAGTCTCCCTGGAGTCTTGTCATCTTGCTCTGAGGGACTCAGGTCAGGCTGTTAAAATTACACAGGAAAAAATTAGAGTCTGCGGGATCAATTGACTCCAAACAGTGACCGCCTTGCTCAGCTCTACATGAGTACTGCAGAATGGTTATCTGCCTCATTCCACTGACTGAAACAGTGCTCAGTTGCTTGGAAGGGATACAAAGAAATCAACATAGAAAAAATAATTTTGAGGAGGAAAACAACATAATGTATATGACATACAGTGATTTGTTGAAACAGTGTGGAAACCTGTCTGTCCTTTGCTGAACCACAGAGGTAATCAAGAACGCTAGTTTTTTTTCTGTATCCTTTTTTTCAGAGTGAAAAGACCCATCTGTGCACCTTCTACAAGTAAACATTAGTGGGATTCACCTAAGACATCATTTGACAATATAATTTTCTGAAAGCAGAGCTAGTTTATGAAATTCCTGCCCCACCCCCAGCAGCTTGCTCAGCCCACATACCATGTAATACTGCCACATCAAAGTACTGTTGCAGCTGCTAATGGGACTGCACTGTCAACTGGAGTGCTAAAATACCCCTTTAAATGAGAAAGAAACCCCACCAACCAAAACTTAAACAACCATTCTTTTAAAGATCTACATTTTGGTGTGGTGTTTTGTTTGTTTGTTTTTCTATCTCATAATATTTCTGTAATCTGATTTACAACATGCTACTATGAGTAATTTCATAGATACAACTGCATATGAAAGTGCCCCATAAATGAACCACGTGAGCAAGGAAAAAGGAAAGACAAGACGCTTTTACTCTGGCTTTGCCCTGAGAAAATGTACATTTGTACTAGGCCAAATGTTAAGCAGACATTTCTAAAAGCCACTCCTGCTGACTCCTGTGTGTGATGACAGCTTCCCAAATAGGTTTGCTGTGAGCCATACAAATGCTTACGCCAGCACAGCACAGGGAAGGGTGTAAGCAGGAAGAGGCAAGCCAGGAGTGGGAAGGGCACGCACAGACTGCAATTGCTGTACATGCCATGGCCAATGAGTACCTCTTTTCTCCTCCCCGTACCTAATTTACTACAAACTGGTATTATCGGTCTACCCACCTGTCAGTCAAGGTTTTCAAAAAGTTTTTAGTTTTATGTAAGAATAAAACTTTGAAAGAGAGTACAACCAACACAGCAAATTAAGTAGCTTCAGGTTTAGGCTCCAATCCTGCAAATTTAATCATTCAGATAATTCTCCCTTTAGCCAGCGAGGACAATCTTCTGAACTGATTATATCTGCCAAAGATGTAACTGTAAGAATTTTGGCGTGAGGGGAACCTCAAACCAAGGGTTACTCATTTAATTAAAGAGTTCAAATCACAATTCATTTATCATTATGGTTCTATGAAAACTTAGCACAGATTTTTTTTTTTTTAATTTCTTAAAAATACACTAACTAAATCTCAGTATACCTAAGAATATTAACCTTGCAAATGCTTATCCATAACTGCATCACCTAATTGGAATCACTAACATATACGCAGATAACATATTGATTAAATTCTTATCAATATTTGCAAAGCCAGATATATGCACGTAAACAAGAAAAACATTACTTTAAATTCTATGTCTTGGACAAACTGAGTTGAAATTAAATCATAACATCTTTTATCAACTCTTATAATTGAATTATTCCTAAAGGTAAAATGAAATATTATAAGAGGTCAATTTTGACCTTCTGACCTTAAGTCCTTACAAGTAATTTTTAAATAAGAAATTATTTTTAATCATATACTTCCACACCTTAGGAAGAAAAAGTAATTAAACCTACAGATTTGTCTGATGGTCCATCCCCAGGTTTTGATTTTGACCTTTCAAATACAGCTTTCAAGGACTCTTTTTCATTTCTCATTTTGCGTTTTATGGCTTCTAGCTCTGAATTATCTGCAGTTGTTTCTTTTTTGGGAGGCCGTGTGAATAAAGCTTTAAAGACGTCCAGTGCAGATTCAGCAGGGCTTGATTTTATTTCCTCAGAGGGAAATCGTGGTTCTGTTTTGCCAGAGGCTTTGTTCTCTTGAGCTTCATCACTGTCCTCAGTCTCCCCAGATGCTTCACCAGAGTCCTCGGTTCTATCTTCATTCTTGGAGACGTCTATGTTTAACAAGTGTGAGAGCTGCTCCAGGAAAGTAGAACTTGCTTTAGGTTCAGCTGATTTTTTTTTAGTGGTCAAACCTGATGTAATACTGGATTTCTTAACAGGCTGTCGTAATTTAAGCAGAGCTAAATCGTTCTCCCTTGGTTTAATTTCTGTAACAGTTTCCCCGTCCTCTGTGGTTAGTCCCTTCTTCCTCACACGTAGGCCACTAAAGAAAGCTGGCAGCTGGAAAGTCTTTTCAGTCAGTGCTGTTCTTTGGAGCGATGTATTATCAGCTGAAGGTCTTTGTTCTTCGTCTGGAAGTTCTTGAGGGCATTCCCCTGTAGCAAGCAAGCGACTGAACTGCTCATCCATTAATCTGTCTTTTCCATTGGAGTCATGCTCCAGAGTACCATCCAGCTCTTTTGGGAGCTGCTTAGAAACTGGTGGGTGTAACTCAATGTCATCTGTATCCACAGTGTCATCACTGCTGCTGTGCCCTTCTGATTCTGACTCTTCCTTATTTTGATTGTTATCATCCAAAGCCTCAGCAGACAAAGCAGCATTATTTAGCCCAGATTCGCTTGTATTGTATTCATCGGTGTCTATGCCCTTACTGTCTGTGTCCGATTCTGTATCACTTGTTGTATGAACCAAAGTACCTTGTACGAGAATAGCATCCTTGTCATCATTGTCAGATTCAGACAAAGAAGTCTGTACAATCCGTAAATGGTGAAGTAATTCATTTTGTTCAGCTAACTCCAGTTCCAGGTCAGTTTGTCTGCCAGACATCGGGTCAGCTTGGCCACTGGTACTATTTGTGCCATGCTGGTTTTCTGAGTCGTCATTACAATCATTATCATTCCTCTCATGCCAGGTGTTCACATGAGTATTTATATCGGCGTGCAAAGGTTGAAATGCTTTAAGCACTGTTTCTTCTTTGGAAGCTGTAGATTCAAACTTAGTTGTAATTCCAAAAAGCGTTTTCACAGAAAATGTAGTGAAAAGATCAGGTTCGCGTTCTGCTGTATTCTCCAGCTCCAAACCCTCGCTACAATCAGGCACCATGTTTTCTTCTTCCATGTTGCATGAAGTACGGAACAGGTTTGCTTCCAGCACTGCCACTAACCACAGAAGGAGTATTTACGACATGCATTCAGACGGCAGACTGAGCTCACTCCAGGCACGGCAAACAGGCAGCGCTCCCCTGCCCGGCGAGGGCAGCCGGCCTCCCCCAGGTCACCCTGCCCTCCTTCCGGGTCCAGCGCCACGGCCGGCAGCCGAAGCCTCCCCCAGGTCTCCAAACTCCACTTCAGCAAAAAGACCCACCGTAAAAAAAAAAGTTCTCAGCGGCGTCGGTAACTCGTTCCTTTACACAAAGGGCTTTTTGTCACAGCAAATATGCCAGCGCACTAATCTCGGTTGAAAATTCGACCAATGGTTAGTGCTGCACTCCTACTGGCTGCACACAACTTCCTACGTGCTGGAAGCGCAGAGCAGCTATATAGACAAGCCTCCCGAACACCACCGGGCGCATTCGTAGTTTACTACTTCCTTGTCCCAGTACACGAGCTGCGAGTGTTTTTCAGCAGAAAACTCCTGACAGATTCCTTCGCGTAGCCTTTTCACTTGGATAAAGATCTTTTGTAAATCCATAATCAACAGAAGACGTCAAAAGGAAACCCAAAGTAACAAATCTGAAGCTTCAGATTTGATTTCACAGGACCTGTGCTGAGTCCTCGGTTCCTGGCCGGGCAGAATAAACTCGGGTGAGCGACCTTGAAGCCAAAGAAAGCAGGAAAAAAAAAAAGAGGCTCTCTTCCGATTTGCTGCAGGTTTCATCTGGAATGCAGATTTCAGCCTCCAGGGCCATGAACAAAAACCAACAAAACTGGTTTCATGTTACTACTGTCCTCACTCGCACAGCTATTCCTCTGAACTGTACTCAGGTACTTATCAAAGGCTTTCGACACACCCAGAGACTGCTTGGGTGGGCAGGGTGAACTGCCAGCACTCAGGAATGCCAAGTTAACTGTTTAGAAATCAGACAGGCTCCCCCCATCTGCCCTGCACCCAAGCCTGGATTATTTATTTCAAACCAGAACTACCTCTGCTGACGTATCTTTTGATCACTTTCACCTATACATATTGCTGCGGTAATGCTATATGTGTGTGATTTGTTTTAATTAATACTGGCAAAACACGTGAAGAAAATCTTCAAGATTGTATAACTCAATATTAACAGACGCTGTCAGGGTTAATATATTTTTTTTTTCATATCACATGCGTAAAGAAAATACAAAATACTTTAAAGCAATTTTGATATTCAGAAAGTCAGTAACATTTAGGTCAGGTTCCAGACTGAAAGAAAGTCTTCACTTTCATTCCTTTTCTTATTTTTGGAACAACACAGACTGCAAATCTGCAGGAATTTATATACTTCTTATTCCCTGGCCTTTAAGAAGCTTGTCTAGTCAAATTTCCACATTGATACCTTAGAAATTCAAAGAGACTATTATTTGGTTTTTTGTACCCAAGTTAGAGGGTCATTCTACAGTTAGCCATTTAGCTGGGATGAGTAATCTTAAACAAGCAACATAGGGAAAGCTGTCCTTCACAGGGAAATCAGCTGTGGATCACACCACTGTGTCAAACTACTGCAAAACATTTACTGAAAAGCTGGATATTACAGACAACAAGTAACAACAAAGTATCCCAACACATCTAACTTTTGGCTTAATGTGAAAATGTAGATCCTACAAAAAGCATGTGTTTACCTTTTCAATATATGATAAAAGATCATAAAGTCAACAGCAAAAGCCATTGGTATCTACTGCAGGAAGAAAGTTTGCCGAAAATCTAATTATAATACTAAGGTCTAAAATGGAGCTTATTGACACCTTTTCAATTACAGAGTTGCATGCATACCTATAGGCAAAGGGCACTGGAATCATTCCCGTCTTTATCTGGGATTTAACACAGAACAATGTCTTCTGCCTTACTGCATGTCATTTCCTGTAGAAAGCACCTGTCTTGCTTCTCCGCTGTGCTTACTCCTCAGGTGCCAAGGCCAGAAACAATGGATAGCCCATGGCTCCCCCGGTTTTATAGGCTTAGTACAGATTAATATCATAAAAAGAAACTCTACATAAGGAAAGACATAAAGAGTCTTTATCACTCCTTATGCCAACCTACTTTTATAATCACAGGGTTAATGAAACAAGTGGAAGGCAGCTACCTTGGCACTGGTGATTTCGCCTCAGACAAGATTTCTTGAAGGCAAATCTACAGCAATTCTAAATTTTGTTTTATGACAAAATAACTGGGGCAAAGCAACCCTACTGAACCAAAGTTTTCTACATTTAAACTTACACCTATTTTTATGTTTGACCACAAGACTAATTATTCATTGTCCTGATAATTTCTATGGTTACACCTTGTTTATTTGGGTTTTGGTTAACTTATGATGGATAAACATGAAATCATATTTTTGAATAACAGGTTTGTTGTTCACTAACAAAAAATAAACCTACATAAACAACTTAAATAGTACCTTTGAAACTAAACATACTTATTCAGATTCTGCCGAAATTTTTATTTATCTGTTTATATTAATGACAACCCACACTTAGAATAAAACTTCTCTGTAATAATCTAGGGTCATGAAGCTGCAACAATCTATGAATATAGTACATGGACAGGTTACTCAAAAACCCATTACCTAACTATTTAAGATTTTAATAGCATGCATGAAAATTTTAGTTTAAAAGTGGATTTAAAAGCAGGAAAACCATACTTTACATCTAAAGAATATCCCAACAAAATTTATGAGACGATGATCAAATTAGTAGTGAAAAGAATGGTGCTTTCAGTGTCAGACCAAAGTTATGCAGTGTAATGAGATGCTAGAAAACCCAGACTTGAACACTGAACAATTAAATCTCCACAAGTAGAAAATATATGTTATAAAACTAGAGGTAATCTCACAAGCCTGCAGAAAATGATACTGCTTTATACATCTTGATAATGAACTCCAGGAAGTGAGAAGAAACTGTCAAGTTTTTTGAGCATTAGGATGAACAAATGAACTCACCTCTATATCTATCCCTGGAAAAATGATCAAAACTGGAATCCTGCCAGCCTCTCAAATTCACCACACAATCCATAAACCCCCAGTCTCAAATAACATTTTTGTAAGGACTTGTTTCTCAAAGTCTGATGATCATCCCAGTGTACAGTCCCCTGTTGAGGGACTGGGTAACCGATAATGAAATACATATTGGTACTTACCCAGTAGAGTGTTTCTGGGTAAAATACAATCCAGAACATGTGCCCTAAATATTTTTAGACAAGGAGGAGATCGTCACATTGTGATGTGCATATGAGACAGAGACAGTTTGTTGGCAGAAGTGTTTTAATACTGGGTGGATCTACCTCATAAGGAAAGTCTCTCTGAACAGACTGTAATACTGCATCTGAAGGAAGAAACAGCTTCAAAATCTCTAGAAAAAATCAGTTATGATAATGTTACAAGTCTCTCTACTTAATAAAACTGACAACTCTCTGGTGCCTCAGAAAAGCCCCTAAAACCCGTCACAGCAACTCTCAGGGCAGTCAACGCTCTAATTATACAAAAGGACAAACATTCCTTACAATTTAAAGCACATTTAATAATCCACACCCTTTCTGACCTACATTTCATCACAGACAGAAGTCACACCTACAACTCACTCTAGTTCTGTTCTTAAGGTGTCTAAGAGCTCCCCTGAAGTAGGTTTTAAAACTAGCTTTGAAGAAAACACAATAAGCAGAATAAAGTAATCTAATTTCTACCACTATCATATGGCAGGTCTCAAGGCTTCCTACCCCTTATCTATTCAGATTGCCTTTTCAGATCACTGTAGTAGCAAACTAGAGAAACATGAACAGGGCACGAAGGCACATTCTACAAAGGAGCCAAGTGGCTAAACTGTATAGAAAACTATCTTTCTACTGTTTTTTCAACATAGAGAGATTTAAACCCCCCCCCAAATTTGCATAGTTTCTTGAAAATAATCCTAGAATCAAATAAGCATGAATTCTGTCAGGCTTCAGAAGAGCCACGTAAAGTAGTAGGCTGTGGCTGTGGTTCAGGCAGTTTGAACTGATCTGAAGCTCAGGTGACACAGTCCTGCCCTATGCCCTGTCCCCCAGCCAAAGGCTTACTGTGCTGACTGATAATCATCTCAACTTTCTCCTGCTCTCCTGCCTGTCTCACCTGCTGTTTATCTCTTTTATACGTAGTATTTTAACTCATTAAATGCTTTAAAATAGAAAAGGCAGAGAAGATGGAAGGAAACCTGTAAGTCCTGGATTTTCATCATCATTCTCAGCCTTGTTACCTCACTACAGATGATTGAGTAATTTTCTTGAAGTTTGAGGATCTGGTATCACCAAGGTAATCTCTTTAAATGTTTAGTTTAGACATAGCAACAGAAAAAGAGATATGATAATTCTTATCAAAATTCAGCACTACACGATGTAACAGATTGTGTGGACACCAGACACATTTGGTGTAAAGGGCTGTAGAAATGCAATGTGGTTTTTAACCTCTTCATCAAAATTCTGCTCGGCAGTGAGATATGGACTACTTTAGAGAATGTGAAAAAATGATTTTAATATTTATATGGTTATAAAACCAGAACGCACATTAAGAAAGCCAATTTACTAATTTGAAGGAGTGCAGATTGTATCAATAAATGTATGGAACAGTTAACCTGTAAAACCCACCATATGAAAAAACAATGGCAGTTCTGAGGCAGAACTTGTAGAAGACTTGTATCAACTGATCTGGTTAAAACAAGCAGACACAAGTAACAAAGACAGGGAACAGAAGATCACTGTAAACTGTGTAAGTAAACTGACTAAGGTCTTTGTGCATTAAGGCATAAAGACTGGCATTTAGCGTAACAAAGAATGGAGACGAATTTTTAAATCTTTTTCCTTTGTGCTTTCCTTTTCTAAGTTGCACTCTTTTCACGTCCTTTTCATTTCAACAGGCCTTTCGCTCAGCAGCTACAATAAACATAATAGTTTAAAGATTAAACAAAAAACTTTATAAAATAAAATCTAGTCATGTCAAATAATTTACGAGAATTTCTTAAGTAGTCACTAGATATTAATAATTATTTTAGCTGCATTTTCACATCTCATTTATGTGTTTTTTAACTGAGGTGAAATGCTGTATAAAGAACAAGGTGGAGTTGCATTTTTAATTTTTTTCACTTTATATTGTATTTCTGTATCTTCTCTATGCTGTATGGAAAATGAGAACACACCACGCTCCAACTAAAATTTAAAATCTAACGCTTCAGGCTTTTGATACAGGTTGTGTATTTGAAATTCCTGTCAGAGCAGAATTCATTCACTCTCTCCCTCATCTACTTTATCTGCCTCCTTCCAAGTAACAGA